ACTGATGACAACAATTCTCCCCCCCCCCCTTAAGACAAAGCTTGTCCCCAAGCTGGAGCCGAAGGAAATCGCAGCTTCAGGTGACGTAGATTCTCCCAAGTGGCGAGTTCAGCTGGCACGCCTGTCCACTGGATTAGCCCATAAGGAACTGCTGCTTTACCACGTTTGATGAGACTTCTGCGCAATACCACTTCTGGCTGAAGCAACACTGAATCATCCGTAATCTGCAAGGGTAGTTCAGGACTAACAATAGTGTCAGGTTTAACAGCAGCTTTAAGTAAGGAAACATGGACCACAGGATGAATTTGACTTCCGGCAGGAAGATCAAGCCGATAGGCCACTTGCCCAACACGCTCCAACACTGTATATGGTCCAAAGTACCTGAAACTAATCTTCTGACAAGAGCGCTGAGCAATGGACAACTGTGCAAAAGGTTGAAGCTTAAGATAGACCTTATCCCCAACAGAGAAGTGCCGTTCAGACCTTCTTTTGTCAGCCTGACTCTTCATGCGCTATTGTGCTCGGGTGAGTTGCTGGTGCAAAATCTCATTCATTTGTGCCCTCTCTTGCAGCCAGACCTGCACATCAGGAATTGTACTACTTCCCACATCCACCACTCCAAAATGAGTTGGTTTCCTGGCAAAAAGGACTTCATATGGGGATTTTCCAAGAACAATATGGAAGGAGGTGTTGTACCAATGCTGTGCTTGAGACAACCAACTAGACCATTTGTGTGGAGAGGAATGGACAGTACATCTAAGAAATGCTTCCAAGCATTGATTGAGCCTCTCAGTTTGTCCATCTGTCTGAGGGTGGTATGAAGAACTCATGTTAAGCTTGACATCTGCCAATTTAAACAATTCTTTCCACAAGGCACTTGTAAAGATCCTATCCCTGTCAGAGATAATAACTTGGGGCATTCCAAACACATCATATACATGCTGAATAAAAGCCTGAGCCACTGAGTAAGCTGTGAAAGGATGTGTCAAAGGAATGAATTTGGCAAATTTTGTGAACTTATCAACAACAACCAATATGGTGTCATATCCCCCAGATTTTGGTAGCCCTTCCACAAAATCCATTGTCACAGTGTGCCAAGCTTGCAGGGGTACTGGCAATGGTTGCAACAGGCCAAGAGTTCTACAATGCTCCACCTTAGCCTGCTGACAAACTTCACATTGAGAGACATACTAATGGACTGATTTCTTTAGTCCTGGCCAAACAAACATATTCTTTATCCTCTGGTAGGTTGCTGTAATTCTAGAATGCCCTCCTATGCCACTGCTGTGCATGGCTAGTAAGACAACTTGATGTGCCTCAGGAAGATCTCCTAGCCAAATCTTGCCTTTGAGCTTGATCACTCCATTTATCAGAAGAAATCCATCCACCCCTTCTGGGTTCAAGCTGAGAGCTGCCAAGAGCTGCTGTGTGAAAGGATCTTGTTGGTAAGCTTCAACCACTGTTTCCAACCACCTAAGTGTACTCACAGACATTGCTAGCCCTTCTTCCTCATGTCTCCTAGACAAGGCATCTGCAACTTGATTGTCTGACCCTTTCTTCAAATTTATCACATACTGCAACCCCATAAGCTTAAGGAAGGCTTTTTGTTGCATGTTTGTACTGAGTTGCTGATCAGTTAAGTGTATAAGACTTTTGTGGTCAGTTTGTATGACAAACTCGGCATGCTGCAAATAAGACCTCCACTTGTTAATTGCCAGTAAGATTGCCATACATTCTTTTTCATAGGTTGACATTGCTTGGGATTTAACTCCCAAAGCCTTGCTAATAAAAGCAATTGGGTGGCCCTGCTGTAACAAAACTACCCCTATCCTCTTATCACTTGTATCAGTTTCAACCACAAATTGTTTGGTTAAGTCTGGTAGAGCTAAAACTGGTGCTTGAGTAAGAGCTTTCTTTACTGCATCGAAGGCATGTTGCTGCTCAGCCCCCCAACTGTACATAACTTCTTTTTTAAGCAGGCGTGTCAAGGGTTTTGCAATCACTCCATAAGCCTTAATGAATTTTCTGTCGTACCCTGCCAATCCAAGGAATCCTCTGAGCTATTTCAAATTCCTTGGAGGAGGCCACTGTTGCACTGCCTTGATCTTTTCAGGATTTGTTGCCACTCCATTTACACCAATTATGTGTCCCAAATAATCAAGGTGTTGCTTGGAAAATGAACACTTACTTGCTTTGACAAAGAGCTGATGTTGCTGTAACAGCTAGAAAACCAGCCTCAGATGTCTGACATGATCCTCCAAAGTTTTGCTATAGATCAGGATGTCATCAACAAAGACTAGCACACATTTCCTCATCAAAACAGAGAATATTGTGTTCATAAGCCCTTGAAAAGTAGCTGGTGCATTAGTGAGTCCAAACGGCATTACTTTGAACTCATAATGCCCTTGATGTGTTCTAAAGGCAGTTTTGGATTCATCATGCTCCACTAATCTGATTTGATGATACCCAGACCTCAAATCCAGCTTAGTAAACCATCTTGCCCACGCCAATTAATCCAATAACTCAACTACTACAGGCATTGGATACTTGTTTTTAACTGTGATGTCATTCAATCCCCGATAGTCCACACAAAACCTCCATGTACCATCTTTTTGTTTAACAAGCAAAACAGGGGAGGCAAATGGACCTGCACTCGACTGAATCAGTCCTTCTTGTAACATTTGGGTCACCTGCTTCTCAATCTCATCCTTTTGTTGTGGTGCATATCTGTAAGGTTTTCTAGAGACAGGTTTAGCCCCTGGCAACAAGGGAATACAGTGATCAAATTCTTTGGGTTCTTGGAATCTATCACTGTATTCAGCAATAACATGTTCAATTTCTACTGGAATGTCATGCTCATCAGAGGTCTGAACTTCAGGTGGACAGAGTTAGACCACATGAGCAAGTACCCCATCCTTGTGTAACCCCTTCAATTGTTTAACTGACAGAGCACTCCCAAGGCTGAATTGGTGCTTAATCCCAGTAAGTGTCACCCTCTGTTGCTGATATGTGAAATTGAGTGTTTTCTTTTGCCAATCTACTAGAATAGGGCTAAATGCTTCCGGCCATTCCATCCCCAAGATCATATCATAACCTCCCAGAGCTAGGATTTTAAAATCTGTCACAAATGTCTGTCCCTGACATCACCATTCAACTGCTCACACCATTCTGTTACAAATCATTTTTCCACCGTTAGCTATTGTCACCTGAGTTGTTTGAACCTCTTTACACTTCAACCCAAGTTTGTCAACCAAATGTTCAGCTAGGAAATTGCTTGAACTTCCTGAATCAACCAGGATCATAAGATGTTGTTTCTGCAGCAAGCCCTGAAACCTTATTGTCCTTCTTCCCAGAGTTCCTACTGCTGCACACTCAAAGAGTACCAGTTCCTCATCACCACTCTCTTCATTTCTTCCCCTGTTTCTATGCCCCCATGTAATTGAAAAATATCCCATATCTCTTCAACCACATGCAGTTGTACTGATTTTGGACATTTGTGACCAGGCCCATACTTTTCACCACACTTGAAGCACTCCCCTCTTGCTCTTCTAGCTGCTTTTAGAGAATCAAACTGTTCCTCCCACTTTGGCTTTTCATCAACCTTCTTATTCTCCTCAGGAGCTGCTCCAAGTATGCCCTTGCCTTGATAAGGTAACTTGTTAACTGGCTTGTACAATTCCTTGAAGTGGTGCTTCTGATAAGGTTTCTTGTTGAGCTCTCCCAGCAGCTCCTCCTGCGTTTTAGCCAAAGACAAAGCAGCATCAACTGATCTCGGCTTGTGTAGCTTGATTGCTGCTTTAATCTCAGTCTTTAAACCACCCATAAACTTTGTAACAAAGTAAGTGTCATCAAAGGCCCTATTGTAGATCAAAACCTTGTGCATCAATTCTTCAAACTTAGTGTAATACTCATCTACACTACCTTCCTGGCTCATATTTTCTAGCTCCTCTAAGTGCTCCTGGTATTTATCCTTTCCGAATTTACTATGAACTACTACACATAACTCCGCCCAACTCTCAACACTATGTAATTCCTCATAAGTTTGCAACCATATGGCAGCATTGCCTACAAAATATAAGGTGGCAAAAGAAAACCAAGTCTCAAAGGGAACAGGGTACATGCTATAAAGTACTTCTCACAGTTTGTCTTCCACAATTTTGGGTTATCGCCATCAAACTTTGGGAAATCAGTTTTAGGAAGCCTATTTCCCCCAAATCGTCCACTACTCTGTGAGTTCCCTACCCCCCGATCAGAGCTCTCCCCCAAATCGAAAAACACAGGTGAGTTATGCCGTAGAGGCTTACCCTTTTCTAGGGTTCGATCCTAAGCTGAAGCGGCCTTGGATGCGAAACACTGGGTTTGCTCGTCAACGCGGTGCCCATTGGGCGTGGCTGACAGATCTGCTGATGTAGTCGGCTTCACCTCCAGCAAAGTCACCCGTGACACCAATCCCTCCACTGCCAAGTTCAAACCCTTGATTCCTGCATCAACGTTAGGAATCCACTTCTCCAAACCTTGTAGCGAACTCAGAAGTTGGCCGATGTTGGTGGTAAGCTCGTCAACCCTCGAGCTCAGCATCTTCGAATCCTCTTCCGCCGCCAGCATTCTCTCCGTCAAGGTGGCTTGATTCTTCTTCCTCGCCAGGACGAAAACTGCTCTGATACCAGATTGTCACGAACTCGAGCTTCTACGTTGCACTTCACTCAATTTGTGGCTGGATAGCTTAGGAATTGAGGAGGAATTTGGGGATTTAGAGGAAGAACAGAGAGAGTTTGAAACAGAGAGAGAGAGATTGGTTTCATATTTTCCTTATTTTTCATCATGCACTAACCAGGTGGCTACAGCTGGCTAAATACCCAGTCACTACCAACCAGACAACCGCTAGCCCAACACGGCGGCCCAGTTAAGCAACAACCCCGTATTAGCCCAATCAGTACAATGACCAGAAGTTTAAAAGACATACAGGACTCAGCCAAACACAATGTATCAACAGTCTACAACTTGATGCTAACACTTAGTTGAAAGAAGATGTAGGCCCATTGCTGAAGAATCAAAGCCGTCCGATGAATTTGGAGTACGGATTGGAGCACTGCGGATGAGCGGGCAAACCGCGTCCAACCCGAAGAATCAACTCACCGCGTTTTATGCCAGCACATACAACCCCCTTACCGCATTTTATGCCAGTACATGCAGCCCCCTTACCACAGGAGGCCACTTGGCTGTACGCATGACTAGAATGGATTTAGTCTACAACAAATACCTCGATCTCGATCTGTTACTTTCTCGTGAAATATATGCATATATACACGCCGATTTGTTTGAGTGTACGTCCGTCCGTCCCCACCAACCGGCAGCTAGCGCCGAGAATGATCCAGCGCGACTTGTGCTCTTGGCGACCGCCGCCGCCGCGTCGCCGCCGGCAGCCATACCCACGCGCAAGTGCGTACGTCCGTGAGTTGCCTCCCTGTTCATTTTTTGTTCTTTTTCTTTTCGGGGTTGGTTTTCCTGCTCTGCCTGATACTCAACGGAGGGAGTAACATTGATTATTGTGATCTGATTTACATTTATATATATGGGAATATATTTGAAAACATATATTGTTCTTTCAGCCTGCCACGTTCCGAAGTCATAGTGAATGTGAAAAGCTGTTATATCTATGATCTGGTTGAAATTTCGTTTCAGAATTTCCGTAATTTTGAACCCCTGGCAAATCAAATCGAGTTAAATTGTGTTAAAATTTCAAAAAATTTTGGTCCAAAAGTTTTTCAATTTTTTGGTTCTACCAAAATGACCGGAATTTTCGCCGAAAACGAAATTGCAAACCCGGTCTATGATATACACCAGATTGTAATTATCCCTACCGATGTCATGATTTGCTGCAGATGGAAGAAGTGATCCACCGTCCTGCAGCCAACCAGGCGCTGACACGACAATAACGAACATGCAACTTCCGGAGGTATCTTATTTATCTCTTCTGAAACAGAGAATTAAGAAAACGTCCTTTTAGATAGAGAAAATCTAATGAAATGTTATTGACAAATACCCTAACCCTAGAAATACCATCGACAAAAGCAATTTTCTTATAATACCGTTGCACAAGCCTTTTTCTTCTAAAAATACCATCACCCGTCAACTCTACACCGTTACAACCGTTATTTTTTTTTATAATGACCAATTTTGCCTCAGTGCAAAAATATACCCAGTTTTCACTGTCAAAGAAAAAAGAAATTTCTAACCCTAACCTTACCCTACCGTTACCGATCCCGATCCAGCGCTTTCTCGGCAACGGTGGCTCGGTGGCGGTCCCCAGCGGTGGCCGTGGCGGCGCTATGCCAGCGGTCCACGGGAGCGGCGCGGCATGGCGCAGCGAGGAGGACCACGGCGGCAGCACGGTAGAATGCGGCGAGGAGGTCCATGGTGACGGCGCAGTAGGACGCGTCGAGGAGGTCCACGGTGGCGGCGGCTAGCAATTGGTCCTCCTCACCATTATACCCATTCATCTCACCATTCACCCCAATTATATTCCCCATTCTGAAACCAACGACATGGCGGCTGCGGCAGTGCGGCGGTGGCGCACGAGCGAGCAGCAAGCGGCACACCGATTGGGCGAGGCGAGGAACAGAAGATGCCCGGGCTGCTCTAGGAGGGCCGGCACACCGAGCATCAGGCGTCGGCCGCGGCTACACAAAGCAGCCCAGCGTGGAAAGCAGCAGGCGACGGTGCTGGCCGGTGAAGCTTCAGCTCCGGCGGCAGCGCGCGAGCAGGTGGGGGCAGAGCCCGTGACCCCGGCAGCAGCATGCGAGCAGGAGCAGTTCTAGCGGCAGTGCGTGAGCTCGCGGCGTCGGCGGCCCTGGCAGCAGCACGAGAGCAAGCGATCATTTGGGCGGCGAGCACCTCGTCGACGAGACATCTCGTTCACGGGCAGCTAGCAACTTGTCTTGTTTCTCCTTTTCCTTTTCCCTATTTGTTTATCTTTATCTTTTTCCCCATCTTTGCAAGGAATTTATTTGTTGATCATTTTCCTGGTGAATGTGATGAATATTTTTGGAATATTTTTTTGCACCCGTTGCATGTTTGTGAAAATCCTGTCAAAAATCTATCATTTTTCAGAGTTGGTCACATTTAGAGAAACGCAAAATCTAAACCGAGAGTGCTCTCCATTTAGTGTTAAAGAGCGACACACTTATTCGTGAGAGAAAGTCCAGTGCTACTAGTACGTGAGAGAAGGTACTGTGCTGCTAGTACAGCTATGTGAAAAAAGGTCTAGTCGTTACTAGTGCACACAATGCATGTCTATTTTTTTTCTTTTTATAGAATTTTCTCTCAAATTACTTATCCGATCTACAATCTGGTTATAACATTATGTTCGTTGCAATTAAATCTTTACTACAAGATCTTACATAATTATATTACGATGAAAAAATATTTATATTTATAAATTACTTTTATTATATACGTAAGTTACTTTATCATATATATAAGATACTTTTTAGATTTGACTAAATTACTTCTATACATTCATAATGCTCAAAATTGATTATTTTTATTATTGTTTTTAGTTAATTCTATATTTTGTGGACTTTATAAATTTCTCTACACTTTACTTGCAAATTTACTCTACATAGTTTCTTATTTCAGCTCACTCGTAATATAATTATTTCTACTAAAGAGAGTTACTCCCTCTGTTTCGTAATGTAAGTCATTTTAGCATTGCCTACATTCATATAGATGTTAATGAATCTAGATATAGTTCTAAATTAAAGTTACTTTCTTTTTGTTATAAGTATAATATATGTAACTTACTTTTAAGCTTTACTGAATTTACTTTATATATCTAATAAGTAACTTAGTGAAATCTAGAAGTAATTTAGACATATCATAAAAGTAATTTATAATTTTTCAACAAAATATAATCATGTGAGAACTTGTTGCAAAGATTTAATTGTTACGAACACAACGGTGTAATCGGATTATAAATCGGCTGAGTAATTTAAGTGAAACTTCTCAAAGAACAAAAAAAAAACATAGATATTGAGTGTACTACTAGCTATTTTTTTGAAAGAAAGGTGCCTCTCTTTAGCACTATCTAGCTAGCACTCTCGGTGTAGTTGTGTGTCCTTAGAGAAATATACAAATCTTATCAGAAAATGATATGCTGTGTTAGAGGGTGTATACGTCTTTTTATGCTTAGGGGTAAGATTGTCTTTACATACAACTTAATGGAAAGATGCTAACAACAGTTTGACGGTGATAGTATTTTTAGGAGAATGAGGCTTATGCAATGGTATTTTTAGGAAGTTATCTTTATCAATGCTATTTTTAGAATTAGGGTGTTTGTCGATGGCAATTTATAAATTTTCTCTTTTAGATAATGCATGGAAGGTAATGTCTACTACGGAGCAGACATCAACACGGCTCGGAAAGGCCCTGTCCTAACCGAAGTTGTGACTTATTTTTGCCAATTCCCCTTTCATAATACTTCCTCAATCTTATTTTTGATCATCTGTTAAGCAAATAACACCAACAGCAAGGAATATAAAATATTTTTCATTCTCAAATTAAGCCGCATTGATTAAGGTGTTTCTATCGTTTCGTATCTCGTAGATTGCTCATGTTTTAAATATTACATGTCATTGCAATAGAAATTAACATTGGTTGGGTACATGCAGTATATTCAATGATACTCATTTGCTCTTAGCACAAACAAACGAAGATGCACTTGGTAGAGAATAATCATTTTTGGAAAGATCTTAAAAATCTTAGGGAATGATCAAAATGGGATGCAGAAATTAAGTACTACCCATTTCTTGTTATAAACTGCCAATGGAGAAATTAACCGATCGAAACGATAGGCTGGACCGGACTGTCCTATAAGTGGCATATACATGCCGTCTTGTTTGTTAGTACTGAACCAGCGGCGGTGATGAATGTACTTGATCAAGATGATTTTTCCAAACTTCGTACGTCGTCAGCGCATCCCCGTAGCACTGGCCTGTCCAAATTGTATCCATTTCGTCCGTCCGCTGCGTTCGTGTTTGCTCGCATCTACATCCGTGTCTGTCTACAGTATATCTACGTATTTGTGTCAGCCCGAATCCCGGCGCTAATCCCATGGCGATAAGCATTGGAACACCGTACCATCCACGTGGAGTCCAGCATATAATATGTTGCTTGATGCGCGGGCACGCTCAATATATAACGTCTACTTGATAATAAGTTGAAACCCGGTATTAGTTATGGTGTTTGCTATAATGTATATGATAAGAGAAGGCATTAGCTTAGGTTCCACCGGTCCCACTTAATTGTATGGCATGTGAGAGAAGAGAAAGTATTGTTATTTTATTCTTAATGGGTAGGCATTATGCATATGGATAGCTCATCTTAAATACTACTCTATCCTCTCCTATTACTACATTGTGGCTGTGCTAAGATTGTATCTCAAGTTTGTTTGCCCTATGTATGAGTTAATCAAACAAGCGGCTTCACTGCCGAAGATATATATAAAAATAATACTAATGGACAAAGGTATCTTCCTTAAGTTTACTTAACATAAAACTAAATTTTGAATAGTAGATACTCCATCCATTTCATATTATAATATAATATTTTAGCATATCCATCTCTTAACTATCAAACTTTAGATCTACTCTATAGGAGCGAGACCGTTAGAAAAATTGATTTTACCGTTAGAAAATTAATTATGACAGTTTTTCCATCAGAAATAACCTGTCAAAAAAACTCTTTTTTGTGTGTGAGTCGGATATGTATCCAACAGAAAATATAGCGGACCACAAGCCAGTAGCTCTCAAGTTTAATAGTGCTTGCGTAGATTTAACATACATGTAAATTTGGACATGTACATATGTGCTCACCAGTAATCATCACTTTTGCAAATTATAACACAAATTACTGACCACATACGACTTGCTCTTCCTCAATCCGTCTATCCTTATCATCGTAATACTCCCCTCTTTTCTCGTTCTCTATAGGTATATGACTAGTAGAGAACTGATCTTTTCTGTGGTATCCAAACTCACAATTATCCTGGTTACATTAAAAACCGGTACTAAAGTTGCAAGCCCCTAAGGACTAAAAATTGATATTTAGTCCTAGGGATGCGAGCGGGCTGTTAGAATAGGTGTCGAATATACTAGTCCTATTTGGTTATAGTTGGACTTGGAGTTGTAATAGGTTTTAGGGGTGGAGTTAGAGTAGAACTCTGTAAGCCGACAACTCTATTAAATCGATAGGGGGCAACCACAATGTGTTGGGTTTAGTCCCACATCAGTAATTGATGATGGGGGAGCATGACTTAAAAGGTGGGGGCGGTACTCACCCATTAGACTAGTCTTTTGGATTGTATAGGCCCAGGACCTAAAGTTGTGGATCCGGTTGGGCCTGTGGGTGGAGCAGGCCCAATGTGACCTGGGTGGCCGACGGTTGGTGGGCCGGGCTACGTACTCTAACAAGTAGTATCAGAGCCCAGGTTTGGAACCCGGAACAATTTCCATGGGTCATATGGGTTGACATAACGGGGGAGATTGTTAGGCCCGAGGCCTAGGTAACAAGTCTTCGGGGTCACATGGGTTGATGTGACGGGGGAGATTGTTGGGCCCGATGTGTGACGGGGGAGATTGTTGGGTTTAGTCCCACATCGGTAATTGATGATGGGGGAGCACGACTTAAAAGGTTGGCGGTCCTCACCCATGAGACTAGTCTTTTGAGTTGTGTAGGCCCAGGACCTAAAGTTGTATCTCCGGTTGGGCTTGTGGTGGAGCAGATCCATTGTGACCTAGGTGACCGACGGTTGGTGGGCTGGGCTGCGCACTCTAACACAATGTAACCATGGTGACTACAATGTATACAATGTAGCGTAGACACGTAGGGACATAATGACGGCGTGGCCATGGACTCGTAGCGGCTAGGAGCTATATTGATTGGGAAGGAGCGCCCATA